AAACTCGACACCGTTCATGGGCATGGATTCAGCAGGTTGATACTCGACAGACGACATGACAGTATCTCCATTGCCGTGGTACGAGGCCGCTGCGTTAATATTGCTGTAGTCGCCATTCGTGTATGCTTGTAAAGCAGGATCAACAGGTACGAGTTCATCATTTTCGGGCGTCTGATCTAGCGCTTGTTGAGCCGAGTAGGCAATGTCCTGGAGGAAAGATGAGCCACCGTTGAATTGGCTGGGCATAGAGTGCCGTGCATGCATGTCTCCGTTCATGTATTCTTCGTCGTATGATGATGCGTGTCTCATTCGCTTCGCCGTTGATGTTGAGCCTTCGTCACTAACCCGTCGTTTCTTGGATGCGGAGCCCCTTGGGATTGGAATTTCATTGGCTTTAATCGGGTCAACGTTGCCGTACTCATCATGTATGCAACGGCGCTATATTCATCAGTTGTGCGTAGTGGATTGGTTGGACGAGCCTTACCTTGCTCTTCCGACAGTCAGCACAAGCCTTCACTCTGCCGGACTTGAGTGCATATGGATCTCCATTTACGTCTGCCATAATAGGGCCACCATTCACAGGACCATTGGGAGCGTTGGAAAGACTATCCGCGATGGAGTGATCGCTCAGTCGACGTTTGACTGAGATGCCATAAGATCCCGAAAGATCGATGGTGTGCATTCCGGGCTTCGACGTATCAATAAGCTCATCTTTGTGCTTGCATCGTATCCGTCGCTTCCTGCAAGCATCACATGCAACACGCTTGGGTCCAAGCTGAGAAGTTTTCGGTGTTGTAATATGCGGATTGTTTGCCGATGGACGGAGGAAGCCTGTTAATGGGCCAGAAGTGACGGGTACCATATCAAAATTGTTGAAGTTCTCCATCTCGACAGGAGGAGAAGGCTCCGGAATCACGTCAGAGGCTTTGATCCGAGCTGAAGACCTTTCTGCTGTTGCTCGTAGGGCTTCATGAAGCGTCTCCCGCTCCAGTCTCTTGACTTGAGCAGCGCTAAGCTTCTTCTCTGTAGTCTCACTCACCTCAGGAAGTATAGCATCGGAGAAAGCCCATGGCGGTATTGTCTCGTTTCCACGTTTCCAGGCAATCCACATGGCAAATCGCCGTGCTAGCGCAAGTGGTTCGCCATGACCTCTGGGTATCGATTTGTTGACTGCACTTCGAGTCTTTTGTGGTACTTCGATCTTTCCCTCTGTAATGAGAACGGTCCTCCAGATGTAGTTGAGAAGATCAGTAAGGCCTTCCAGCTCATGCTTAGGGTAGTATCGTCGGTTGTAGTTTTGTGCGCCGAGATGTGAGTTGTGTCCGAACCTGTCAGGCTCGCAGTAGATGGGTGTGGATCGTTTGAACTGCTCGCCGCTTTGTAGGAGTTCTTGGACAGGACCAGGAACGGGGTCCTCTTCTAGGTATTTGATGACGGTCAACCACATGATCTTTTGGAAGAAAGGGTAACGAAATTGCAAAGCAACCTTGGTGTTCTTCTCAATTTCCAGAATCTTGATCTGCATGCCGTAATGTATGCGAGTGAGGAAATTGCCTCCGATAACAAGACTGTCTTCAGGTGTCCAGACCGCATGAATCCAGCCCGAGGGGATCAGCATTGTGTCTCCTGGGTACAAGTCGACACGGTAACACTCTTTGACCTGCTTGCCGAGCCAGTCGTGGCCTTGATTGGGCGAGAGACACCAATCTTCGTACTTTTTGAGATTTTGCTTGGTTGGTGGGATGAAGAAGAAGACCTTTTTTCCCTTGACGATGTGGTAGTATACTGAAGAACCGCCAAAGTCGATATGAAAGTCGGTGAAGCAGTCTGCGACAGACATCAGGCAGTAGAACTGCACCGGTGGTGGGGCGGCCTTGTCGTCTTCCCGCCACACGGAGTCTTGCAAATCCATATCCCGGACGGCTTTGGGTCGTCGAATTAGCTTTCCAAGTCGACTTCGAGAAACCTCGAGGCTTATAACGTTCCGCACAGGCTTCTCTCCTTGCTGCTCGTAGTAGTCTGCCCATTTTCCCATAGTCCACTTCTTGCCCTCGCCCTCTTGAGCCTTGACATCAATCACCGGCACAGGTTCGTTCGGACCGTAGAGTTCTGCCACGCGGCGGACAGTCAATCCCTTGGGGATAACCATGTCAAGACTGTCCTGACCGTCATCCGCAACTATTTCATATTCAAAGTATGATGCGAGCTCTTCCTTTTGTTCATCGGTATCTTCGGTTCGTAGTCCTCGTGGGGGGTTCATATCGCCAGGAATCACAATTGGTTCTTTGAATCCATTCATCTTTTCAAGAAAGTCACCGGTAATGAGTTGTGCCGGCACGCGCGCAAATGTCTCGGGCGTGAACTCAATATCACCGTTCTTGAATGCTGCAATATAGTGGTGTTCTGGGTTATCGTCTGACGTCTTGAGCACGCCTTCGTTTAGACCAGCGTAGTCAACAGTGGTGTGGGCTCTGACGGATTTACGAACCTCTGGACCATGTTAGAACTATAAGCCCAATGTGCGTCGGTAGACCTACTCGTTGTTTCACCAAACTTGGGTCTACACGGCTCGCAGTAGAATTTGTTTACCTCCCGGACCTCCCGTTCGCTGTTGAACCCCGCGCAGGGGTAGTGGTACCACTCTTTGCAGCCGTCGCACCCTATCCATTGTTCGCCGTCGCCAACTTTGATCGCCGACTCGGAAGACTTGCACGAAGCACAGATGAGTTCAGGTTCGATTGGCGCATTTGCAGGCTCAGCAGGTGCATCGACAGGAGCAGACGCAACCGGTTGTGAACCAAGAGGAAGTGACTTGGCGCGTGAAGAGGCTGAGAGCGGTGGTCCGATCGAGTTCGGTAAAGTCGATGTGGAGAAGGAATGACGGCGGGCTTGTGTGGGGGAGGGATGCGCGGGTTCGGCAAGCTCTGCTGGAGGTGCAGAGTTCTCAACTGCGACTGCGGCTGGCTGCTCAGCATTCAGGCTTGGAGGCGATTGAGTCTGTTCTGCAGGTGCTACCGGCCCTGCAGAAGATGCACCCTTTGGCTTGGGCGTCCTCTTTCGTTTGCTACTTGTCGCGCTAGCGCTACTGCGACCGCCTCGTGCCTTCCCTTTCGGCCAACCCTGTTGTTTCTTGGTCTTGGGCTCTTCTGTAGGAACAGGGCCTTGCATTGCAGGCTGTGCGACTGAATTTGATGCTTCGTCGGTCGGTGGGTGGATCTGCGTAGATGGAGCCGTCGGTGCTGTGTGTGCTGGCTGCCCTAAAGGGTGTTTCGTATCTATGACGGGCTGCGTGTGCTGATGGTAATGATCAATAGACGGCGGCTGTGGCGCTGTGAATGGACTTGGAGGCTCGCCTATTTGCTGGATTTGTCCCGAGTGCTCCATCGGCACTGTATGTGAGATGCTCCACCGCTTTGCTGTCGAAGGTGGTGAATGTGCAGTCTGCGTAGAGACATTGAAAAAATCCAGCAAAAGCTGTGCATCTGAAAGCCGGTCGTTAGGTTCGCCGGGGGGTTGGTACATGCGGCTGCCATTGTCCACCATGTGCTCGACGTTGTAGGACCAGCCCGGGATGTGGCTCGTGGCCGGTCTTGACTGCGACTGGTCATACTGCGGAGAGCCGTATACTTCAGAGCGCGCTCTCTTTGCGGGCCGCTCGTTGAAGGGATATGCATGGTCTCTGGGGAAGGCGTGTGCTGGGGCGCGTTCGGCGATCGGATAAGGGAGGGTCGTGGGCGATGCGGCTGGGTATGCAGGATGGCGCGACAGCTCAACAAATGGCCGACTGGTATGCTGCGACGTCACTGCGACATCTGCGAGGGCCTCAATGGGCGATGCCTGCGCCAGAGAATATGGCGTCGCTGGCTGCGGAGGAGCAGCAGGAGGCACGGATCGCGAGGATGGGTCATACGTCACCGCGGGCGACGCCAGCTTCCCCGACGCGCGCGTACTCTGCCCGAGAGTAGGCGTTTGTATGTGAGCAGTATGAGTATGTGCGCCCGGTGGCAGCGACGCTGTTGGGATATTCGCTTTGCCGGCGGGGTGCGCTGATGAGAGCTCGGTCGGTGGCAGCGTGGGTGACAGCGGCTCGTAGACGGGCGGTGGAGGGGTAGCAGCACGCGCCGAAGCTCGCCTGTACTGCTCCTTGAAGGACGAGATTCGTCTCATGGCCGCGGTGGTTGCGGATGTGGGTCGATGGGGGCTTCGGGGGTGCGAGGGACTCGGTCTGGCGTCTCAAGATGCGCGGCTATGGAGCAGCGGCAGGGCAGGCTGAGAGGCAGGCAGAGAAGTAGACGGGCGCGAGCATATCCTGAATTGAAGCGACAGCGGCGCGGCGCAGGTTGAGCGAGCGTCGAGGTTGGGGTGGTGGAGGGTGGTAGTGGTGGAGATGTCGCGGGGAATTGTATTGGGAATGTTGCGGCCGGAGACCAGGGCGATCACCGTCGACCATGCGACTGGGGCGACCAACGCAAAGGGATGCCCAGCAGCGTCGCAGGAGGGATATGGCGAAGAAGCAGCGCCGTCTCCGCACGAAGCTCGTACAAGTCTGAATGTGCTTTGGGAGTGCGCAAGTGGTTGGGGGGAGTGAGCTATGGAGCGCTGAGCCGCTTCATTCGCTGCAAGCCCGCATCTCCGATTCGAGCGCTCGATTCTTTGGCAACAGCTGTGAGAGGGGCCCTACCACTGTCTGGCCTGCCGCTCTAGACCCTCGTTTCTTCTCTAGTACATGCAGCAACTTCTTCTATAATGCAGTACACGTCTATGTCCATCGATACAACGACGGTGGGTATGCGCCTCCCTTGCTGCACCGCGGCGGCCACTCCTAGCTCAGATGCCCTCGTCACGTGGATACACGCGCTCGGACCCTTAGTCGCCATTCATGCATCGATCCCGCATGTTCACCATCAACACCTTCTCTTCCAACTCCCCCCCACCACCACCCGCCCGCTGCTCTCCCAATCACCAGCCAGTTCTTTACCGTCCATAATCGTCGCCAAAGTATGAGTCGAGGAGGAAAATTGGCCCCGGAAGTCAACCGGTACGTTCATCCGTCTCCGCATCGCGTGCGCCAGCCAAGGCTGCACCAGCCAACTCACACGACATTTGCGCTAACATGTCATTTGTACAGAGCTCTATTCGTAAAGAACCTGAGGTTGATATAGCCATCCCCTGTCTGTGTGGCTGTGCGCTAACCCCATGGCAGCTTCAACGTTACCCCAGAGGAACTCTTCGATCTCTTTGGCAAGTTCGGCCCTGTGCGGTACGTCGTCTTCCTCGCTATATGCACGCGCATATAGCTTTTGCCGTCACATTGCATCACTAACGGTGACCCCAGCCAAATCCGCCAGGGTATCGCCAACCACAGCAAGGGCACCGCCTTCGTCGTCTATGAGGACGTGATGGACGCAAAATCGGCTTGCGACAAGCTCAACGGCTTCAACTTCCAGAACCGGTATCTCGTCGGTGCGTTCTGCAACCTATCGCCCACTCGTTTCCGCGCTCGCTACTAACTACCGCAGTATTATATCACCAGCCAGATAAGATGCTCAAAGCTGCGAATGATCTTGCCGAACGCCAAGAAAACCTAGAAAAACTCAAAAAACAGCATGGTATTGATTAGGGGTGCGAGAGGCCTCAGGAACAGGTGATATCGCACGAGCAAAGTCAAGACAAGACTCCTGTGGGCCTCAAGACCGATAGCGTAATCTCTAATCGATCCTCGAGTCGCGGCGGCGAACCGCGCTTCTCGACGACGAGAACGACGACCAATTCGACATTAGCGGAAAAAACCGACACTCCTTCCACGCCTCCCTCGGCCAGCGCCTGCCGCAATGGCAACGGCGACTGGCGCGCTCTAAAACAATCGTTGAAGGGCCTATGGAAGTCGGCGCATGGCGTAAAGAGGTCATGATATGTTTACGAACCATGGCAAAAAAGATTGCTACATTTTCTTCAAGAGTGTTGAGAGATCATCTATAGGTCCGGGGATTAGCTAGGTCAGAGAGGATTAAGGCCGAGTCGAGTCGAGTTTTAGATTGTAATAGGGCCTTAGCTTTCCTCTTTTTCTTTCTTTCTTTCTCTCTCACTCTCTTCTTTTCTCTAAACATATCACACGGTCGGCAAGCTTTTTTTATCCAAGCGCCCGAGTCTGAATCAAGGAATTCTCTTCTTTCTTTGCAAACATATGTCGACCTTGTTTCTCACTTGTGAAGTCTTATTTTTAATCGGAAAGCGGCAGCCACAACCGTTTTGGCTGGTTTGACGCTTGATTTAGTCTGCCTTGGCTGACAGCTGTCGATCGCCAAATCTGCCCTTTCTCCGCTCATTTCCGCCTCGCCGCAGCCGTTTTGATACTATGGCGCTAGCTAACAGCTATTTGGCCGAGGGAAAGCCTCTTCTATCGTTTCTTGGATTGTCTGACCAAGCCCTCCTTCCCCCCCTTTTTTTGTCTAAAGTCGCTTATGTAAATGCTAACTGTGTCACTTGGGTAAATGAGCTCTGTGATTACCGAGGTCATTTAGAGTCCTATCTCATTTTCTTCTAGAGACAGTATATGCGTGTGATAGCTTTGAGAAGGGGGGTGAGATGTACAGTGATGTTTACGCGTGTTCCTATGTAGATCGACGCTGCTTTTAGTGGTGATTACTGTGCTCGTATTGCTTCATTTTGCACATGAAAATATGCATGTGAGGACTTCCTTTCGGTGCTGACGCATGGAATCTAAGGATGGGTAGGGGGTGACACGTGTATTGCTGTAGGTTGGATGTGACTTTGCTCCGTGTCGTTTGTAATGAAAGGACGTTGTCATTGTCTTCCCTAGGAATCGACTTGGCGCTTTTCAAGGGACTGGATATGGCATTATCGAGAATCTTGACCACTACTACTTTCCATACTGGTCTTTAACGTCGACTTGAATCTGTAGAATCGCTGATCACGTTTCTCTAGCAACAACAGTGTATTTTTCATAACAGTCTTCATACAATGCTATTACTTTAATCCTCCCGATTCAATGCCACACACCCAACACCATTACCCAAACCAATTCTCCAAAGCCTTCCCTAAACCCACCACACTCTTACCCTCCTACCATCCTGCCCTTATACCCTCACACCCACCACTTCCACAACACCAACAACAAAACACCCCCAACCAACCAAATCCACACTCCCCATCCTAACCCCATGCCACCCCCTCCACTCCGTCAACCACTCCTCCGCCCTCCCCTCTCCCTCCTCCCCATTGCACAACCCCACCAAAGCCCTCACACTCCTCCCCACAAGCGGCACGAACGCATAATGCGCTGCCGTCGCTACCGCACCAATTGCGTACCAGCGCCTCCCTATGCTTCCCCTTGTCGTAAAAGAAGGACGGAGGAGATAAATATTTGCAAGCGAGAAAGACAAAGTAAGCGTGTTTAGGGCTACGACGGAGTAGATGCCTGTGTTGAAGAACGTGGTGAACCAGGCTGGGATGACGATTTGGTTTGCTTCTTTTAACTGGTTCACGGCGTCTTCTTTTTGGGTGTGGGGTGAGAGGTCTGAGGGCGTGGGTGGGGATGAGAAGGGGGAGGGCGATGCGAGGATTGCTTTGCTGAGTCTGGAGTTGAGAGGTGGGGGGCTAAGGAAGGCGCTGGTGGTTAGGTATTCCATGTAGGCGTGGGTGAGGGATGCGGTGGAGGTGATGAGGGGGGCGAGGGTTAGGGCTGTGAGGAGGGGTGGTGTGAGGGTTTTTGGGAGACCGATTATTGTAGTCGTCATGGTTAGGGAATCTTTTCTTGCGGATATAAAGCTGAAGGTTTAAATGAAGGCGGGTGGTAATTTGTGGTTTGTGATATGGTTGAAGTTTTGTTATACTTGTTATAGGGGATGTGAAGAGAGAGCCAGAACGTATAAATATCCATTCACGTCACAGTGGTGTGATATATGCTTAGCCGGCAATGCTGGGAATCCTTCTTCTTCTGTTTCGGTCTGGCTGGTGGCCTAATGGCGAAGTCAATCAACCTGGTGGTTGGAGAAAAACGAACTGTGCAATGAAGGGTATCATGATATATTGAAATAACCATTTACTTGAACATTAGAAGATGCTATGCTTTTGACCAGTTACCAATAACGCCCATTAAATGCAAACTCCATCACCGTGCGAAACCAAATATCCTTCCACGTGTGATATCAAAGCAACATCTACCATCCTCGCCTCTTGCCCCTCTCATCGGCGCTCCTCTCCTTCCTCTTGGTCCTCTTGACATCGTGTCTCCTGCGCTTGTCCTTGCCAAACTTCTCTGGATCAACAATCGCCTCTACCTTTCTCTTTCTGCGTCTCTCTTCCCTCCTTTCTCTGACACCTTTCTGTACTTCTCCCATGATCTTCAAATACTCTTGCGTTCCAAGGCGCTTCTGCAAATTGTTCATGACTTCACGAGCTTTATCAGCAAGGGCCTTGTATGGATCATTGACCGTGTTGTTAGGGCCGATCTGTGCAGCGGACCGAGGAAAGGTTGCAGTGGCATCGGTGAGGGTAGATAGAGTGGTCAGGAGGTGTGGGAGAGATGTGGAAAGAGGTTCGAGAGGAAATTTAGCGGCGATAGTGTCGAAAAGGTTCATGATTGCGGTCTTGGCATTCATGGTGCTCTTGTCTTTTCGAACGATGCCCGAAAGGCGGATCATGAGGCGATGAATTGCTGTTGGTGGAGTGTCTTCCATCTTCTTGGGCTTGATATTCTCTGGCGGAGGCGAGAAGCCATCAAAGTCCTCCTCATCTTCTGTAGCGACTGCATCACCGGTGGCCGCAATGGTAGACTCTTCCATCTCCTCATCCTCGTCAGCCTTCTGCCACTGCCACTTCGCTCCGTTAACAGCGAGGCATCGCGCGATGAAGGCAATATTCTTGACACTTTGCAGGCAAAGCTGTTCCGAGACTTCTGGGTTCAACAAGTTTCGCAAGAAAGCGTTGCACAGCTGCGTCATGTTCTGCTCAGCCAGCTGTAAACCGCCAGACCCCTTTAGTGGCAGTGCTCCAAGGCCTGAATCCTTGTTTGAAATTCCAAGGTGGGCAAAGTAGGTGCCCAGCAGCTCTGCAGCTTTAAGCTTGACCCACATGTGCGGGTAGGTAGCGCTGGCTTGGACTGCGGTCCACAGTCCATCTTTGCTTGACGAGAACATGGTGTCTGTATATTTCTTGCAGACTTTTGAGAGCAGGGTGAGGGAGTAGTACAAGAGCTCCCAATCGTCTTCGTCGCGTCGGCTTAAACATTCACCGATTGTTGCGTCAAGTCGATCGAGGACGTATGCAAGTTCTTTTGGCTCCTCATTGTCTTCCATGGCTTCGAAATAGAAGCCCCAAACCTGGATTCCGAGACGCTTCAAGCCAATGTTGTCGTCTTGCTCCAGCCAACTCTTGAGATCTGTGGCGAAGCTTTGCAGTCGCTTGTCGTTGGCATGCTGGAACAGTCTCTTGATCAATAGACTGGCCATTTCTCTGCATTTACCCGAGTCATCGTTTGCTACAGTGTTGATCAGTGGCAGGAACATGATACCGTGGTATTCATATTGCGCCTTCTCAGGGAACCGAGGTAGCGCCTTTCCAATGATGAGATCCAGTGCTTCCATGACTGATTGTCTGCCTTCCATGTGCTCGTATCGAAGGTTCTTGAGCAGGAACTCCATCTGTTTCTTGAAACGCTTCTCGCTCTGGGTATAAGATGTCAGGAATTGGAAGAAGTGGCTGCGGGCAATATCGCGGGCAGATTTTGTCTGGTTGGTAATCATCATCTCTGCCATTTTGTCCATGGCTTCATACATTTCCGGGATGTCAAAATGTCGGTTCATGACAGCTTTGAGGAAGCCGAATATGACACCTGAGCGATCAGGCTCATCCAAATCCGGCATCATGCGCTTGAGAAGATGTCCGACATCTCGTTCCCTCACCTGTACATTGGGCCGCTCACGCAACACAGCAGAGACCAGCTTTAGAGAAGCTTGGGCAAGCTCAGTGTTGGACGATAGCGCACCTTTGATGGCACGCATTGCTTCGTCAATGTATACAGGGCAGTTGGCGTCCAGCTCAGGCATCGGCACCTTGATGACAGTTGTAAGGAGACGGACGGCCGAAACTTGTACTTCTTCTTGTCCTTGCACCATTGCATCGCCGATGATTGGTAAGAAACCGGCCAAGTTTTGCGGGGTCTGAAGGTCTTCGTGCTTGCGCAAAACAGTCCGAAGTATATCCATACCAAAGCGAATCATCTTGTACAGGTACGAAGAAGTGCTGAGTCGTGCTCCAGACTTGGCCGCCCCCTTGTTGTTGACGAGATATCGCTTGCTTTTAGGGTCAATCTTAGCTTTCTTGTCAGTTGGCGTGTTTGCTGCATATGCCTCTTGAATAAGCTCGTAACAAAAGACCAAAATATCCCTGTTGTTGACGGTGGGGTTTTGTAGTACACCGAGCCCGATGCGCCGCAGTAGCTCATCAATCTTCTGCACCATCCTTGCGTTAAGCTTCTCAATCAAAAGGGACCTAATCGGAAGTACGAGCTTGATAAGATGAGAAGGAGTGGCAGATCGTGCGATGATGTCCATCGAATCGAAGCTTTTACTGCTCTTTACTTCCTTCATCTTGGAAATGTACTCTTCGGCATCTTTCTCTTGGCCAGCGGCACCAAAAGTATCATCCATAATCTAGCATTTTTAGTATGTCTTTCTGAAAATATCTTACAATCGGATACTTACCACATCCACAAGATCTGTAAGGCAGTAGTCGAGATCTCCTGGATTCGTTTGGTCTGAGAGCTTCACCAGGATGGTGTGCAAAGTGTAGGAAAGAACATGGAGTTGATAACCTCTTTGAAGCGCTGTTCGCAATGCCTTGAGAATGAAACCTAGGTAAGCCGGTCCCATGAGCGTAGCAATGTCGCTGAGCGTATTCCTCGACATGTCACGAGCCTCCTGGGCACGACTCTTAAGGATGTAACAGATATCCAAAAGGACACCAGGCAGTCGTGTCTCGATTTCAAGTGGAGGAAGGACGAGAAGAACTTTGGCAATCGCGACGGCAATAGGTACTCGTAAACTAACTGTCGCTTCGTCTTTTTTGTGTAGGAAATTGGTCAGATCAGGAAGAAAGTTGTTGATCATATCACTGCTCAGTTTTTCCTGCTGAGGAAGAGTTTTTGTGAGAATGGACTGAGGTTTGTCAATGTCCATAGTCGCAGGGTCGTCGTTGGTCTCAGAAGTGGCTGGGTCGTCTGATCCGGCCGGGGACGTGGCTACGTAGCCCTTGGCTCGACCTGCTTGATTAAGACCATCCATCAAACCTGCAATCAACCTAATGATGGGCTTTTGGAGGTCTTCTTTGGTGGCTAGGTAGCCAATATACCGCTTCAGGAGAGAGCGGAATTGCGGCCATTCCAGACATTCTGTCAACGCCGTGAGCGTCTTGATGGTCTCTCCCAAAAGGCTGTCTGCACCATCATCGTCACCCTTGTTGAAGACGAAGTGCTCTAAGAGGGGTACGAGAATCTGGTAGACATTCGTACCACGCAGATGAGAAGCATGGGCAGCCAAGCGACGCAATGCTCTAAGTCGACGATGACCCTGAATGTGCAAGATGTTGCTGAAAAATGAAGCCTCATCATCGTCTGAGAGAAGTATGTGAAGGTCCACTACAGGAGCCCAGTCAGGATGCGTCTTGACCAGATGCTCTAGCACAGCAAGGTATTCGATTCGAACCAGTTCAGACGGCTCGCGCATACCAGCCTGGATTCCAGGCAGAACTGCTGACGACATAAACGACCTGAATTCTTCGCTGGTTGAGACCTCGCTAAAGCGGCGTAAAGACAAGGATGCGTTGACTCTGATGCTAAGCTCTTCGTTGTCCTTTATGAAGTAGAGCATGTTGTAAACCAGAGGCTTCCATTGAATGAGAGAAAAGCTTCTGTAAGCCTCTTCGTTAATGGAGCTGAATGCCTGTGAACGTCGCTCAAAGTCTGGCTCATCCAGGCGCCCCTTTGCAAAGGAGTTGAGATCATGGCATATCTTTGCGATGACTTGGAGATCACTGTTAGTGTCGGAGAGATCTTGAACGACATCGCAAAGCAATTCTCTTGCCGTACGATCTTGGACAAAAGCGAACATGGGGCAAATCGCATCGTATATCGTGTCGAGCAACTCGTTCAAGTTTTGGTCATCGCAACGCTGAATGAACTCGTGCAGGATCTTGAGCAACCCTAGCTTGGTACGAGGGTTTACACGCTTCGAAGGTTGACGTAGAAGGAAGGTAGCGATCTCAATCATACTACGCGATTCGGAGGCACCGACGACATGAGGGGCGAGTTCCGCAACCGTCTGAACCCCAGATTCGAGCACTTCTTTACTTGGGTTCTGTCGGAGTAGATGACCAATTCGACCCAGGATTGAAGTGGAGTATAGTTGAATAATGTCGGTATGTATGCGATTCTTTCGGATCCTCGATTCAGTTGTCGAGGCGTCTTCTTCAACAGACACAAGAGCCACAATGCTTCGAATAACATTATCTAGAACGAAGCATTTGACCTCATCTTTGGCTGAAGGTACCTCAAGACAGTCAATGACTTTGGACAAGATGACTGGGTTGAATTCAACCAAAAACGGGGCCGTATGAGCCGATTTTGACCATGCTGCAAACAAACGAAGAATGCCGGAGATAGATTGCGCGGTTTCGACAGGAAATTGGTCCAGTCGAGGTTCAATCATCTCTTTGACGAGAGCTCTGGTGTACGGATGCCACTCAAACTCTGGGCCGTTCTCGACCAGCTTGCTCAGAATGTGGAGTGAACGTTGCCGAACAGTCTTCAACAATGATGTCTGCGTCGATTTGCCCTCATCACCCTGGCGATCGACTGAAGCTGAGAGCTCTCGCGATGCTTTGATGGCAGAGTACAGGATGGGGTCCACTACGGTAGCAATGAACGGAGCGAATGTCGTCGCAAAGGTACTCAGTAAATCATCCAGCAGGTTCAGCATTCCGACCTGCTTTCGTGTGTCTACTAGACTTTTCTGCAGCAGTTCCTCGTCGACAACCCTATCGCTCAAGATTGAAATGTGACCCAGAGGTCCGAAAGCGATCTGTAAGAACTGATGTATGGCTTCGTCGCCGAATCTTGTTTTCAGGCTAACGAAGACGGCTTTTCTTTTCGACTCAAGGCCTCGTTTTCCGGCTATAACCTTGCCGTACAGTAATCGCAACACGATTGGGAGGACTTGGTCAACGTCAGAGTCTTGGAGCTTGCCTTCGCTGAGGAATATCGGGAGTTCGTCACGGAATCTTTCATCGTCGAGTAGGTTCAGTAGCTGTTCCTGATATGCGACTATTGCCTTGTCTTTCCATGTAAGAAGCGCCTTCAGCGAAGCCTTTTGAATTTCGACATCTCCGTTACTGAGCAAGGCAAGGAGGGCTTGGCGAACTTCGTCTGTTCGATACAAGACTTTTGGATTGTTGAATTTTGCAAAGATAGAAAGCATCGCTTTCTGGTCTTTCCTTGTCCAACGATCCTGCAAAGTGGCTGGAGCATCTTCATCCGAAGTAGTACCTTCAGAGTCTGGCACTTGGTCAAAAGCCCACTTCAGGAGAACTGGTACAAGAAGTCTCGAGCGCTTTTCTGCGATGTGTGGTAGAGAACTCAACACTTTGAGAGCTTGCGTCCTGCTGAAGGAGTTGTAAAAAGGTATTTCGGCATGTGCCTCCTTGAATAAGATCTCCAGTTGCTCTTGAGGGTTGTCAGCTTTCGCCTGAACATCAGCGACATGCTCCTGCAACTGCATCAGATTGGTACACTCGAATTCGGTCGCGTACGGTCGCGATGAGGCTGGCTGAGGACTGTCAGAAACGATATCAGCAGCATCGCTCGCAGCCAGCCATTCAAAGACGGTTTGAGTGACAAAGCCTTCTCCTTCCTTGGTCTCGCAGATGGCTTTCAACGCAGAGCAACTGTCTTCCCACACTGATGCTAGGCGTACATGGAGTAGTCCCAGACAGAATGCAGGGATAGCTTCTCCCACCCACTCATCAGCGCATACGGCAGGGTACAATTTAGTCATTTGGCCTACGCGCATCGCAATGGATCTTTGTGTCTCGAGATTTGGCGGTGTTTGTTCAATCAACATGGCGACTGACAGAATCTTTTGTGGTTCTTCACTTTGGTGCGCAACAAATTGCAAGACATATATGGCCAAAAGTCTCAGATCATGCGAAGGGGATCCTAGGCAGTGCATGATGGTTCGCTTCAAGGGTTCCATATGCGGTCCTGTGGTATCCAGGTCTCCCTTGTGCTTCTTTAAAAAGTCTAGTAGCGCACACCAGAAAGCGATGGAGTGTCCAAATACATTGGAGGTTTGGCACAACGCAGGCCACAGACTTTTGAGTTGGTCATCGTCGCCACCTTTGCTGATAAGGAACTGGAAACCTTTACCAGTAGCAAAAATATCGACAGTCCGCTTTGTGGTAAGATTCGCTCCTTGGACAGCATTTTTGAGCAAGTGTGCGAGGTCATTCCAGATTTCTCGCGTCTTATCATCAGCTATGCGCAGCGACTCTATCGCACCTAGCAAGGCATTGCAGTAAAAAGTCTGGTTCTCCAAATCGGTCTCGGTTCCTGTAGACTTGTCGAGTTCATCAAAGGGCTCTTCCAAGATCGCTTGCCAGCGCTCGGACGGCTGCAAAGTGGTGTTCGCTAGTGCTCCGCTTTGGTAAAGTTGAGGCAGAATTGCACAGAATTGAGGACCATGCTCATGAGTCTTTTGCGTAACAAATCTAACAAAGTGTTAGTAAATGAATCAGTCTGAAAGAATCGTAATCTCGCACCTCTTGAAATATGGGAGAAGCAAAGTTCTGAACCTCTCCACGCCTAGACCGGCGAACAAGTTGCAGAATGGCAGAAAATAAGCTTCCCAAGGACCACGAGTCAGGCCTTCCAGCAGCTTCTCGTGGGGAATAGCTGCGTCCAGCGCACAATACTGGAAAACAACGGCGACGACTGATAGTAGCTCCCATGCATCAACAGAGTCGATTTCAGTCGAAGCTTTGGTAGAATCAAGCAGATTGCTGATTGAGCCCAGCACGGGTCTCCAATCTTCGACACGGTCACCTTGGCGGACGCCGTAAACGACCATTAGCAAGCGAGACAATAGGCCAACATAGCGCACGTCTGACGACACTTTGTCTGCCTCGCCAAGTATGACTTCGAGCAAAGGGCTGAAGTTCTCTGCATCCGTGTGGTGGATAGCTGCAGTAACTACACCGATAAGTACAGGTTCGAGAGGCGGAATCCGGAGGTCAAGATGTTCTAGGTTGAGCGTCTCGACCAAAAGCTCTTGTAAAATGACGGTAGCACTTGAGTGGAAGCCGCGCTGTACGCCCTTAAGCGAGTCGGTAAAAAGATACATGAGACCTTGCTGGAATGCGTAGTCCTTTGTGGATTCCTGCTGGTCCTTGAGTAGATCGGATATGTGCTTGATGATTGACTTGAGCGGCGCCTTGTCTCTGTGATAGGCAGCTCCGGCCTTGCGTACCAGAAAGCTCAATGACTCGGCCGCAAAGCGAGAGACGAAGGCTTTTTGGCGCTCTTTGCCCAGCAAAGGGGACATGAGATCAAAGACGGGGCGCAGGTTCGGTACCAATAGCCTTGAAAGGTACTTGAACAACCAGGCCAGACAGCCAAATGCCCATTCTATAACTTCTACATCGGCATGCGTGGCTGCCAGATGCGACACAGTCTTCACTGCCCTCTCAAAATATTTCTCAAAGCGCTCGCCAAGGTCGTGTGCAAGATGAGCCATGAGGCTGAGCAACGGTTCCTGGCTAAACTTTTCGCCCTTCTCAATGTGTTCGACGAGGAGTTCGAATATGCGATCGCTATGGTGGAGGACTTGGGGGAGGCTGTCGCAGAGTGGCGCAACCTTGCGGGCAAAGGCTGTGAAGGGCTCCGACATGTTGAGTTCCCTCCATTCGAGGAACGAGTCGCGGAAGTAGGAGAAGGTCGATTCGAGCTCGGCATCATCGAGAATGGTGCTGCGACCGCGGCGAACAGGCTCAATTCTGAGTTGTGCAATGCGCTGCGAAAAGCCTTTGAAGACATGATTGCGCGTGGATTCGGTCCCGCCCTTGACCCGTTTTTGTGGGCGCGCCGACTTTGATATTTTGGAGGATGGCTTAGCAGCCGGGCGTGTAGCAAGTCCCCGCGACATGGCAGCCATGATGTGTGGTGTATTTGGGTGCAGTGGAGAGGGTTGGGTCGAAGACTGCAGTGGCTGCATCTTCACTCGATGCTCCACTAGAATTTCCATACGCTAACAAAAAAGCTGGACCCTGGCACTGGCACCGCACCACCGACGCCGCCGACGCGCCAATCACCCATGCTCACTTAACACCAACGCGTCGGCAACTCGTCATAGCCAACATCACCATCTATAATGGCTTCAAAAATGTAAGTCTGTTCTGCTGTTATTGTCTTGTAACCCACTAACGCGTGCAGCGTCGTTGTCGGTGACGTCAACGGGCAATTCAAGACCGTCTTCCAGAAGCTGGGCGCACTGCACGCAAAGAACAACTTTGCTTTCGCCCTCATCGTAGGCAACTTATTTGCAGCTTCACTCGATGATGAAGATGCAGCATCAGGAGATGTGCAGTCACTCGTTAATGGCCAAATCGACGTGCCGTTGCCGACCTACTTTGCTCTTGGCAGCAATCCACTCCCTCCAGCAGTCGTCCAAAAGTTGGAATCTTCCAGTGATGAACTATGCCATAATCTCTTCTTTCTTGGCAAGCGGACTACTATGAAGACGTCTGAGGGTATCCGCATTGTCGCGCTAGGCGGCCGGCTGGATGCGAACATCATTGCTGGCCAGTCCAAGGACAAGTACCCGCCTTTTTACAGCGAGACGGATGCCAAGATTTTGCGAGGAGCAACGACAGCTGATATCCTCATCACCAACGAGTGGCCAGAGGACATTCAAAAACGTTCCAGGGTCGAATTCAACCCTGAGGTGCAGCCAGCCAGCCAGCAATGCATCGCTGATTTGGACGTCATATTGAAGCCCAAGTATCACTTCTCAACATCGGGCGGCACCTTTTACGAGCGGGAGCCATTCTTTCATCCACCGAGTGCTGAAACCGACAATCTCTATCCGGTAACGCGATTCATCAGTCTGGCGTCCTTTGGAAATCCCAATAAGCAAAAGTGGATTTATGCCTTTTCTCTCGAGCCTTCTGCGAGCCATCCCGTCGCACCTCCGCCTGGCTCAACTGCTTGTCCTGTCGTTCTTTCTGAGAAGAAGCGAGTTGCTCCTGAGTATCAGGAACAACATCTAGTCTACGACGATGGAAACCGAGGCCGGAGGGGCAACAAGAGACGAAAGGGGGAGCCTCGAGGACCCATTACTGCATCTGAATGCTTCTTTTGTTTGGCCAACGAAAACATTGCAACGCACTTGATAGCCTCGATTGGCGAGAACTCGTATTTAACAACTGCAAAAGGCCCTCTGCCAACTCCACAAACCTTTTCGAAACTCGGCTTCCCCTGCCACATGCTCATCATTCCATTCACGCATCAGCCGACGTTGGGGTCAATGGTAGAGGAGGAACGCCACGCGACCTACGCAGAGATGCAACGATATCGGCGCGCAATGAACAGCATGCTCAAGTCTGTAGCAGATACCGATTATGGTTCCGTCACGTGGGAAGTCAGTAAATCTAGCTTGCCTCATACACACTGGCAATACCTCCCCGTCAGCGCGGATCTCATCAGCAAAGGACTTGTCGAGGCTGCGTTCAAGGCATTAGCCGAGAACCTACATTGGCCGAAATTTCAAAAAGAGGATGTAGGTGATGGAGTCAAAGAGACGAGCGACTTCTTCAGGGTCTTGGTGTGGGATCCAAAAGACGATCCAGATAAGCAGACGAGCTACGTTATGCGCTTTGACGAAAAGATACGTTTCCACAACCAGTTTGGACGAGAGGTGTTGGCCAAGTTATTGCGACTCGACCAACGTGTCGACTGGAAGAATTGTGGGCAGACGCAGCCTCAGGAAGAGCAGGATGTTGAAAAGTTCAAGGAGGCGTTCAAAGAGTTTGACTTTGCCGCATGATGCCCATGATCAGGAAGCAACCTTGACTATGCAACCTCTTTCTCCGTCAGTCAATAACAAGGCCATATTGAGGTGCGACGAGCCGGCAGTTGGAGCATTGACACTACGCAATCTATACACCCCGGAGTACGTCCGATCAAGCTTCTCCAAGAGATTGGTTCGTAATGCATACATGTCATGCTGCTAGTGGAACATTGTCACAAAGACACGCAAGCCCAGCCAAGTCCCAAGACACCGACGTCGCTGCGAATATACTCGAAACGGCAGTTCTGACATCAAACTGTCCAATGCTGCACTAAAGGGTTGGCATACCAAGCTCCGGTGTCGCCATGGGTAATCAACACCTTATTTCCGGTTACCCAAGCAGCTCTCGTACTCTGGCCAACAAATTCATTGCAGTCTTGACCTCCGTACCAGCGTCCCAATTTAAACAAAACCTCAAGATTAGATGCAGGACAAACAACAATTATCTAAACATGGTTTTGATGCGCCAGTCGCGCACCATTTCAGCATACGCAGCTTGGCATCTTCCTCTTGAGGCTAACATCCTTCTTCTTCGAGCCAGGGCCATCTCTTGGCCTTCACGTGTTGTGTAGAGCGCGGGGCACGAGCCAATCAGTAAGACAATCCCCCACTCGACCACATCTGCAGTCATGCCCATGTTTCCTCCTTCAAGCCCCTCATCTTTCACGTTGGCCATGTCTTATCATCCATTCGCTCCTTTGCAACGCCTTGGGAGCGTCCATGTTTCCGACCCGCACCACGCGCCGGCGCCTTCCACACGGACACATTATCCTCATCTAGCAAGCACCCAATGACAAGGCGATACTGTTAGCGTACGCCCCCGGCCACGACCCTATCACACGTCGCGATAAGCCCACCTGCGCTCCCCATGCCCGCGCTTTCCGTAACCTTTCCATGACCTTATCCCTCTTGCATACCTACACCAGTCATTGGCATCCTCCTCCGTCTTACCATGCAGCACCATTCGTCTCTTCCCCCTAACAGGAAGGCAGCTCCATGACTTGGGGCCGCCAGAAGCAAGTTGCACTGCCGATCAGGTACGCTTTGCTCTAGTCGTCCGATGTCTCTAAATGAAGGACTATGCTTCAGCCGCTTACGACCCTTGCCGACCTGCCTTATTGGGTTTCGGTCAACGATCTTTGTGGGCGCGTGTTTGTGTAGGTTTCGCTCATGGGGTTATTCCGCGGTTACACCACTTTTTTCGGCCGGGCAAGTAAGAGTAGGTTGAGCGGGGGTGGGTAGGCGTGCAGTGCTTCATTGGATTGGACCGTGTTTTGTTTCGTTTCCTGGGATGGGAAGGGGAAGCGGAGAGGGCCGGGGCTAAAAGATGATGGTAGATAGGATGGTAAGAAAAGAAAAGACTGGGTGGAGAACTTGTATATAAGATGGGGGGTGGTTGTACGTACTGTTGTATCCATTGTGCATGACATCGACTTCACTGTCGAGTGTCTACCTCTGATTGCGGGTTTTATATCTCAATTGACGCATCACTCTTTCTTTAACCACTTCCTCTGCCATCACTCTTTCTTTCGTCGTCAACGAACAAGATGAAGACCTCCCTCCTCATCGCCGCAGTCTCCGCTGCCCTCGTCTCCGCCGCCCCCGCCCCATCCAACCTCTCCGCCCGCGCTCCCCCCAACGTGCCCTCCAAGTCGGAAGCAACAACCCAACTCGCGGGCCTCACCGTCGCCGCCCAAGGCCCACAAACCGGCTACTCGCGCGACCTCTTCCCCCACTGGATCACGCAATCCGGCACCTGCAACACGCGCGAGACGGTCCTCAAGCGCGACGGCACAAACGTCGTAACAAACGATGCTTGCGCGTCCGTTTCCGGCTCGTGGTTTAGTCCCTACGACGGCGCGACGTGGACGGCGGCGAGTGACGTTGACATCGATCATTTGGTTCCGTTGAGTAATGCTTGGAAGGTTTGTTTTGCCTTTCCCTTTCCCCCCCTTTCTTCCTCCTTCCTCCCAAAAAAAAAGATAAAGCGGAAACTAACGAAACAACAGTCCGGTGCAGCATCCTGGACCACAGCCCGCCGCCAGGCCTTTGCCAACGACCTAACCAACCCTCAATTGCTTGCTGTCACGGATAATGTCAACCAGGCTAAAGGGGACAAGGGCCCAGAGGACTGGAAGCCCCCGCTAACGAGCTACTACTGCACGTATAGTAAGATGTGGATTAAGGTTAAGAGTGTATATGGGTTGACGATTACGAGTGCGGAGAAGAGTGCGTTGACGAGTATGCTTGCGACGTGCTAGTATGGTTGTATGGATGAATGAATGATGTATTTTTTTTTTCTTGGGGAGAGAGAGTGGTTGAAGTGAAATGATTTGTTGATTTGTGTATGTATGTCAGGGATTAAAGTGTATATATGAATTCTGGGTTTTCTCGATCGGTGAGATCGAGCCATCTGTCAGACAGGAATATTAGCTTCCTTACTATACTTCTTTTTTTTTTGCCAGGCTGAAAGCAGAAAAAAAAAATCAAAGGAAGGGAAAGAGAACAAGGGGGGGGGAAGGTAGAAAAAAACTCACTCTTGATTCTCCAACTTGACATAATCGGGCGCCGCTCGAATCAGCGCTTTCTTCTTGTTCTGGCGCACACAGTAGAAATGGATGAAGGCGAGGATGCCGAGACATACGCCCCAGCAGACAATGATTGTGACTTCAGCGGGGACATAGCGGGGTGCATCTGATGGGCGGAACGTCTGGGGGCCTGTAGAGTTGAAACTGATGTTAGTTGATATATCATCGGATAGGCAATCCCCCCCCCTTGCACGTGAACGATGCCAAGGGAAACCAAATACAAAGGGGAAAACATACCTATAATATTCCCAACACAATACCCAATCAAAAACATAGCCGCTACACTCGTCTTCTTTGTATACCCCGCCACATTACTCGCCACCAAGCTCAAGAGCGCCACAAACGGCGTGGGACTCGCCTGCGTGAGATAGTATCCCGCCAGGCGCCCCGAGTTGCTGGATAGCGGCAGCGCGACTATGAGCAGCATACCGAGGATAGCAGTGAGCAGGCCAATCATAGAGATGAGAATACGGTTTCCGTACTTGTCGCCTGCCCAACCGCAGGCAATCAGGAAGACGATCTCAACGGCGCCGCCCGGGGTACCGTATAACAGGGATTCCTCAGGTGTGTAACCGAAACCGACGATGAGTTGAGAGAAGAAATTTGAGATACCACCTGTTTTTTTCTTTCTTATCAGCAAACAAACAAACAACATGAATGGTAAGAAAGAAAGAAAGAAAGAAAGAGGGGGGGGGGGGGGAAGGGAAAACAAACCATTCGGAATATCCGCAATAAGCGCATAAAAAAAGAAAGCCCAACTCAGCGGATCCAACAGAGCCTCCTTCAACTGATACCACTTAAAATGCCTATTCCCCACCCCTTGCTTATTAACTCTTATCCGCTCAACTGCCAACACGCGATCTTCCTCGCTCAACCACCGACAATTGAGCTGGTTATCCGGTACTATCCACAGAAAAGCCACGCCGCAGCACACCGTCAGCAGGCCCGTTGCTAGGAAAACAATCTTCCAGGGTTCGATGGAGGTGCCGAGTTTGCGGCATCCGACGGCGATGCCGTAGGCGAGGCAGCCGCCGAAGATTTGCGCGAACCCGTTGAAGCTGAACCAGATGGCGGTGCGGGAGCCTTGTTCGGCGGTGGTGTACCATTGGGAGGTGAAGAGGGCGAAGCCGGGGGTTACCTTTGAACGAGTGAAATGACTTAGTTAAGTGCTTTCTCTTTTTTTTTTTTGAAGAGTGGAAAATTTCGGTATAGAGAAACTTACGGCTGCTTCGAAGACGCCGAGGAAGAAACGAATGGCGAGGGCGCCGGAATAATTCGATACGCCCGCGAAGCAGGAAAGGATTAGACCCCAGATTATGATGTTGAAGGCCGCTGCAATCATTCACATAGCCATTAGATTCGAGCATTCCCTCTTTTTTTTCGGTTTCAAAACATAGAATGGAAACATGTATGTTCGAGATGTGTTGGTGGGGGAATAAAACTCACAATACTTCCCCAACGGCAGCACCTGCAACAATCTCGACGTCGGATACTCCCAGGCTATATAACCAAAGTAAAACATACTCCCCAGCCACGAATACTCATCTCCCGTGAGACCGATGCCGGACTTGAGTGGATTATCCGAGGGAGGCAGTTTAAGGCCCATGATACTAGCATAGGAAAGAGTTGTTTTGTCCAGGTAATTAAGACCGTAGACTAAGCACATTATCTATGCGGAGTGTGTTATTAAAGTTGTGTGTGTGTGTGTGGAAAGGTGGATAGAAGGGAGCTTACAGGCATCAAATGCCAATCAATCTTCCTTAACAACGCTTTACTTTTCTCCTCGCTGAGCTCAATCACCTGGCCTTCCATGCCCTCAAACGCCTTCATCGCCGCATCCGCATCGTGCGAGTGCTTGAGCAATTTCTCTGCTACTTTGCCCTTTGGCACAACGGTATCTTGCACTATCGCATCTTTCTCTACATCCGCCGTGGGTATCGGGGTTGGGGCTGTAGATGCCATGGGCAGGCTGGGACGGTATGTAATCGTTTGCCGCTTCTTCTTCTCTTTTCTAACTATACTCCCGAGGACAGACAAGGGGAAATGGGTGAGATGGCTTGTACGGTAGATACAGGGAAACAACGGACGTCAATTTAAAAAAGAAAAGAAAAGAAAAACGACTATATCTCACTTATGTAACCTGACCCAATCCAACCGAGTGCCCGCAAAATCCAATGGTTGTCTTTCTCCCGCCTCCAAACTTTCCTTTTCGGGGGAGGGGGAGGCACCATTGGAGCAAAGAGCGCCCCCCGTTGGAGAGCACCGCCCGTTGATCTTTTTCACCCGTCTACTATCAAGCCCACTTTCATGCTTATCCACGATAAGATAAAGCTTGGTCGCGCCCCCCCCTCCTACTCCGCGCAGGATGGGATAAGGAGCGGGCTTCTGTTCCTTTTTTTTCCAATCATCTGATAAATCCTTGGGCGAAGGCGCAAAAAAGCCGACGTTATCATGTTCATTTGCGGGGTAGTTTAAAATAAAAAGGGAAGTGTGTCGCTGATCGCTCGTCCGCGGAAAAATCCGGGTGGAAAGCAACGATTGGAATAGTCGATACAACTGTAGAATGCATGGTTACATGATAGCCATTAGACGGCGCCTTTAACCATATGAGGAAGCTGGCGTTTCGGGAATTCCAGATTGGGGAAGCACGACATGCTTCAATGGTGGAGATGTGGGTTATTGGGGGGGCAAAGGGAAAGCATGGAGGTAAATGGGATTAATTGGATTGGGGGAAAGCTGTTACAAAAGCGGGGAAAGCATGATTGATAGTGGGCAGAGGATAGGCAATGCGTGTCATGTCAGTGTGCTAGTGGCGTAGCAAGACAAAGAGCTTATCACGAGTGCGAGCCAGAGCGCCTACCTCCGCGCATCAAAACTAAGCATGAAAACAAGTTTAAAACTCTAAAATAAGCGCGAGCGCACGCACGCACACAACACGCAAGCACACGACACAACTTCAAGACACTAGAATAGGGAGGCCCATCTTGGCATGAACCATTGCATTGCAACTAGGAAACTCTCTTCTTTTTTTTCCTCCAAAAAAAAGAAGAACACGGCTGTGCGAAAACTCGTAGTAATAACCACGCTTGCCTATGAACAGACTCCTCGGGAAAAAAAACGCCAGGCTGATAAACAAGCCAATGCTCTAAATTCACAGTTTGCCCTACCCATCTAGACCCCATCCTCAACTTCGAATGGTAGCCGCAACAACCTTGCAAACGCCGCCCTGATGCAGTTTCGTAAAATGCTTTGAAACGACTGTTTCCCTTTGATTTGGGAACAAGTAAAAGAAGCGAATAAATAATAATAATAATAATAAAAAGAAGCCGCGAGTAAATCGTCACGCGTGTAAAATAGATGAGCAGAGAAGCGAAGACACAATGCTTGGTCCGAGAGAGCAAAAAGGCGCTACTACGATCGGACAAAGACGCTGTTGAGCTTGTTCAGTGCGCTGCTATCGGCAGCTGTGCTGTTCTTGGCAAGTCGTTCCGGGGCCAGATCGCGGGGAAACCTCGATGCAGTATTTGGGCTGCGGCTGCCAGAACGGCTGGTGCTCTGGTTGTCCTTGGTCTGGACGTCGCCATTGAGCAGCGAGTCGAGCGTTGGCAGCGGCCTCGAGGGTGGGGGTGCTGATGTGGTAGCAGGGGCGCCGCTAGTCTCTGATGGGCGAGAATCCGACTTGTCAGAAGTTTCTGGGGTTGGTGGCCTATTGGCACCTGCCGAGGCGACAGCACCGTTGATTGCTGGCAACTGTGGGCCCTGCTCGGGAATGGATTGTGCAGGTGCTGGAGGAGCAGGCGCGCCGACTCGCTGCAGATGTTGCTGACGTTGAGCGTGCTCGGCGGCTGATGGAGTGCGCAATGGTGGTGTCGTCATGTACTGCTGGGCAGCGTGAGCAGCGTGAGCCGCATAGGCGGGGTGCTGCATAAGCATGGGATGATGACCTTGGGGAGCGTGAGGATGAGCGATTGGCGGCGGCGCGCGGTCAAAGACATGGGCCTGGGGGTGATATTGGGGCTGTGCATAGACTACGCCGGGGTAAAAGTAAGGGTGCTGTGGGTAGTACGCGTGTAATGGAGAAGAGCCATTCGGAGGCGTAGGAGGGTAGATGGGGACGGCATACATGGGCGCGACAGGGCCGCCGCGTGTGTAGGGTGAAGAGGGGGCCATACTGTGGCCTGGAGCATTGTATGGGGAACCCGGCATGGGGCCGCGAGTGACGGCAGGCACCGATTGAGTCTCGTTGACTGCAGACTCTGGGTACATGTTCTTGGGCGGTCGGATGTGTCGCAGCTGGGCGTCGTTTGTGGGCTGGGGAAGGTTGTTGGAGTTTGATCGCGAGTAGTAGCTGATGAGGTGGAGGTGCTGTCCGCTCTGTGTGGTGATGCTGAAGGACTGCTTCATCAGACCGTCGGGCTTGTATCGGTAGCCGTCTGGTCCCTCACCCTCAGAGTCTCCGTTTGCTGAGCCGTCTGGCGACTTTCCGCTTGCGCGCTTTGCTACAGGCGGAGTAGGCACAGCGCTGCCTCCTCGCTTGCCCTCCATTTCTCGGTATGTGAGGAAGCTGCCAGAGACGCGGCTGGCGCTCCATGATTTTCCGTCGGTCCATCGTCTCATGCCGGCCTCGCGCTCATCCCAGACGAATACTGAGCCGGACTTGATCTGCTGGCGCTCCTTTTCGGACAAGCGACGCTGGACGCGCGGTAATATGCCAATGCGGCAGGCCTCGAAGAGAATGATGGCATCGTTAGGGGTGCGGACATGGCCGTGGTAGGTCTCCATGGCAGTGGTGGTGACGGGGGTAGCAGGGGTGGTGATGGTGGTGTGTCTGTGTCTGTGTCGTGTGTGGCGTATGGTAGCAGAATGGTACCGTGGGAATGTGAGGTCAGTGCCTCATGGGTGTCTTTGGGGTCAATGTCAGTTTGTGGGTGGTGGGCAGGTAGAGCGAGTGTACTTGGGATTAAGTACAAGAGGCAGTGGAGAGAGTGGGTGCAGGGTACCCGGCAATGTCGGGACCTGGCGAGAGTAGGCATAAAAGCTAGTACACAATGCCTGACCCCAGAGTGGAGGTAGCGTACAGACGGGTGAGGCTAGCTAGTTGGCGAGACGAAACAAGAGGCAGAGACTTACGGGAGGACGTGCGACTGCAACAGTGACTGTGACAAGACGTATGTGTGTGTGTGTGTGTGTGTGTGTGTGGTTGTGTGGCTGTGCGGTCAGATCAAGGCTGGCCGGGTGTTGGATGGATGGCTAGCGAGGTGAAACGAAGCCGGGGAGGGAGAGTCAGTACAAGTGGGCGTGGGTGGATAGACAGCACGAGGAGGAGATGAGGAGAACAGGAAAGAAGGCGAAACTTTTCCAAAAGCCATGAGCAGTCATCTGGGCTCATGTACTCTTTGCTCACGGGCAGGGCAGGGCAGGGCAGGCTTGGGCCCCAGAAATCACTTTTGGCCCTTTCTCGGCGTTGGGATGGCGTCTCTGGATCGCCCGCCGCGCGTGGAGTGGCGGCTGATAGCGAAATAAGGCCCACAAGCAGCCGAGACAAGCTTTGCTCGGAGGCCGCTGACTGTGCTGACTGGATGGATGGGTGAGCTGGGGGGGTTATGTGGGTAGGGGGATGCAGTATGTAGTCGTGTGCGTGACGATGTTCTGTTCATGGATTGCGGTAGCAAAGTGTAGAGGCGTGGATGGCCGCACACACAGCTGCACACAGTTGCGCACTCTTGGAAATGAAGCGCCCAGCCTGCCACGGCTGCCACGGCTCTCTCTCGCCGCGCCATGGGCATCGGCCGGCCAAGCTTTAACTCTAAACGAATCTTTATTTTCGACAAGCCTTCAGCCGCTTGGCGGGCCCAGTCGTGACCGTCCGGCAATCCGTCTTGTCCTACTTGGCTGGTCGAAGCGGGCAGCGCCCCAATCTACCAAGCACAGCCAAGGCGTCCCAACCGCCTGTGTCTGGCCACACCACGCCTGAGCCCTCCATGGCGTGCTTGGCCATGTGCCCACAAGACGCCCCAAAACCCGCCAGCTCTGCTCGGCGCCCTTGGGGCTGGCAATCAACCTGCCGCTCTCCGTTGTGGCCTACGTGGAGCTTTTCTTTTCCCAAGCACCGCTCGACATTACCCATCTCCACTCCAAACGTAATCATCCCTCCCCGTCTCACTCAGCCCGCACCACCCCACCCATACAAACACAACACACTCGCCCGCCGGATGACATCAAGCTTAGTGCATGCCGTTTAAGCTTACCACCGTGCCACGCCCATCCCAAACCCGTCCACACGGTAACCCAGCCCGTCCCTTCTCCCTCCACATGACATGCCTGTGCTCGGCCACAATCTCCTGCATTTCGCCCGCGCCTGATCGTCGCTTCAACACTACTCTATACTATCCTATACTACTCTACTCTCCTCTAACTAACTATATCCTTTTTTACACACCCTCGATTCATCCCACTTGCGCAATCCCGTTCTCCCTCTCTTCCCCCCCCCTTCCTCCTCCTCTTCAGCTCACCTGCCCTCCTAGTATCCCTCGCTTCCACAACGCCACGGCACCTAGCGTCTCAGCTGCCCTAGACAGACAAAGGCCCGAATTGGCCTTTATTGGCGCTGGGTCACACTCAAGCCAGCCAAGACACTCACAAACACTCCCGTCGACTTTGGCACCACCAGCCAAGATGCCACCACCAATGCTTCCTCCTACTCTTTCCACTGCCCTCAATCCACCTTTTCTTCTCCTCATCCGATTTGCCAACATGCCGCGTCATCCGGCTTCCCACTCAAGCCCGCCCAGCGTTGGCTTTCTCCACCCCCCTCTCCTCTTTTCGTGCACCCGCCCTTTCGTCCTCAACTCCCCGATTGCCTACATACACACATACGTAACAAGCCACCGCCAGAATCCAACTGCCTATCTATCCGTTAGCATCCGCTACAATCATATCCCTCCCAGCTTACACCGCAACTTTGTCTTTTTTTACCAGTTTGGCCCCATCCTTACAGCGACTAAAAATCAGCCCGTTTTCCGATTCGCTTAACATCTACCGGGGGGTGCTGCTGTTAGAACAGGCACTAGTAAACTAGCCAGCGTAAGCAGATAAGGTTGGTTCGCAAACATTAAGCATAATTCTCTGGCCCGCTTTGTTTCCCTAGGCTATTTTTCCCCTCCTCAGCTCTCTCGCTCCCATGTTCTGGCCCCAAAACTATACAAGCCGGTGGCAAAACAGCAAAGACGCCCAGAGCACAAAAAAGCCATAGGATTCATTTAGTTTGTAAGACGGCGATGTAAATATGTGACATGTGATAGTGTTTTTACTTCGCAACGCAAAATAATCAATCGAATCAAATCGCAATAGCCAAGTGTACTTACCTATATCATGCTAAACTCGGCTTCGTCGGCGCAAAAGCAAAAGCCAAAAAAAAAGCCACTCAGAAATCATACGAAATATATACCAGCTCAGCTCAGCCTGGGCGATAGCCCGCCCGCCAACACCTGTGGCTGCCTTTTATCCAACCATTTTTTCCCGTCTCATCTTGTCTCGTATCGTCTTTTTTTTTCCCATTTCCCGCCGCATAACTCTACTCCTCATCTCTTCCACCTTTTTCTTCCTACTCTACTTTCTTACCTAAGACTTGGCGGAATTTCCCGTACGAACGCCCCCTCCCATTCACACCACAGAACACACCCTCGTAAAAAAAATAAAATCCGGAGGTGATCTTTTAGAGTAGAAAAAGGGAAGGGGGGGGAGGCCAAGACCCAACGCGATTTTTAGGCCTGCCCATGCGAGTAGAGAGGGACTTGGCTTTTTTTTTGTGCGTGCTTGGTTGCCTTGCCGTATATGAATTTATCCGGGGGGGGGGGGGGTTTAAACTTACACACATTTACTTAAGTAGTTAGTTAGGTTTTGTATATATATAGGATTAGAACGATCGATTGATTGAGCTTTTTTTTTAATTTAAATAGATGATGGAAGGGTTCTAGTTTGTTTGTTTTTTCTTAGCGTTACTCTCTTTCCTTGGGGTATATTGGAGCGGGGCAGGGCATGTTGTAAGTATCTTCAAAAGAAGCTAAGAGTAAGATTTGCCAAGGCAACTGTCTGCGTTGGATGCAATGGGATTCTGGGTGGTATGATGGGTCCTTTTTTGTTCTGGAGTCTTTTTTTTGCAAGCGAATAGAGATTTCGCCTGCTTATCTTACTGTGCTTTTCGCTCTGATTACATGCACACATACGTCTCCTCCCCTGCGCGCGCCTCCAGTTTTTTTGCGTAATGCTGAGTGTGAGAGACAAGAAGGGGGGGCTGTGTAAGTATTTCGAGGGACTGAGAGGCGAAGAATAAAGTAATGGCTTGGATTCTTTTTTTTTATTGGATCGGTGTTAGCACATGTCTTGTCTCGTGATTCTTTTGTCCGAGGTTTCGGACTTGCCCTTTTGTTCGCCGTTTAGGGGTCTTGGGTGCTTACATTGGATTACGTAGGCTAAGAAACTGCATTGTATTGTCAATGTGTCTGCCTAGAGAGAGAGACATTCGAGGAATTGAAGAAATTGACCATGAGACTGTGAGTGAAGTGTAATCTGGAGGGGAATTTTTAGAGCCAGTTTTTTTTGGAGAACTCATGAAAAAAAGGGGATGGAAAGTCCAGACGTTTGAGGCCAAAAATGTTGTTTTTTGGTCCAGCCCAAACTGAAGTCCAAACTCTGGTTATGGCGATGCGCGGTATGACTAAGAAAAAGCTGTAAACTTTAATTGCAGATTGTGAGATGCCAAGTAGCCAAACTGTATATGCATTGGTCATGAGTATAAAATAGAGTTTGAGGGCGATCACCGCTAGACCACGTTACAGGGATGGGCCAAATGCTTATCTGTATTTCCCCTAGTCTCTGTTTTTCTCTCTCTTTTTCTCTCCTTTTTTAGTAATGAATTGTCATGTCACTTCCATGATTGTACTAATGTATATTGTGCCACAATCGTATAACGGAAATATCAATGCTTTCTTTTTGCCTTTCCAATATTTTTTGTTTGATTTGCACGAGAAATTTGGGTTAGTGCTTAGATGAGATTGCATACACATGTGCATAAGCATGGCTCCTTTGGTTGAATTCTTTTGGAGAGAAAAAAGGTTCTTCGTGGAATACGACAAGGTTGGAGAAATATGGAAGGTTACACGAAGAGGTATGAGGGATTAGCAAGTAATACCACCGCTGAAATTTGATATGGAAAAACGCTGAGGTACTATGTAGATCAGCGCAATACTTCCGGTGGGAGATAACAGGGGATGAACAATCAAGATGAAAGAAGGTATATGACACATGTGATAAGAAGTCGCCATCTAGGGAAAGTAAAGGTCTATGAACATTATCCCACTCACTTGTTCAATTTCATCAATTACTCTATCCCCTACTCCGACACAGCTTTCAGCCTAACAGTCAACCCCGGCTTCTTCCAAAGCGTAAACACCTCCTGCATCGCCATCCAATCGATCTCTTTGTCCACAAGCTCAAAATCAAACGCGAAAAATATGGAAGAAATAATAAGACGAAGTTCGGCCCAAGCGAGACTGTTCACAAGGTTAGCTTCATCTCTTTCCAATACTCTCCAAATAGGAAGAAAATAGGGACGAGACATACTTCTTGCCAATGCAGTTCCTCGGTCCAAAACTAAACGGATTGAATCCATCCTTTTTATCCCCGCTATACTCTCCATTCGCGCCCTCGAGCCATCGTTCCGGTACAAACTCATCTGGGTTTTTGAAATGGCGCGACGAATGGTGCATGGCATATTGACTAACATAGACAGAAGTACCTCCTGAAATGTAGTGTCCCGAGATATTGGCTCCGCCTTGTGGAACAACGCGTGGGAAACCAGTGGGGACGGGGGGATACATGCGCAGCGTTTCCTGGATGCAAGCCGTGAGGTACGGAAGCTGCGTTGCTTTTTCCACATTAATGTCTGCGAGAGAGGTAAATGCGGAGCGGATTTCTTGCACCATCTTGGCATAAATCTCTGGGCGGCGGAGGACGAAATAAGTGAATCCAGATAGTGTTGTAGCAGTTGTCTCGCTGCCGGCAGTCAGAAACGTAACAGCGTTCGCATCCATTTCAGCGCGCGACAGCCGCTTCTCTTCGCTGACGCGGTTGCGCATGAGCTGGCCGAAGAAATCCGGTTTGTTGTCGTCACCGTTTTCGAGCTGTGCGAGGCGCTCCGATACTTTGGCTGAGGCTTTGAGACTGAATTCGCGGCGGCGCTTTTCATTCTGCATCGTGTCCTGGAACAGGTTGCGAGCCCAGTCATAGAATGCTATAAAGCCGTACTTGCGGCGGGTTGACATTATGGTGGCCACGCTCGCCGCGCTGTAAACGAGGCTGACCCATTCGTGGTTCTCCGAGTCGCGCAGGCAGTAGAGGGATTCGCCAAAAGCGAGGTCGGCGATAATGTCAAAGGTTATGAAATCTATTTAAATAAGCAATGACTCGGTTTGTATATCCTTTTTTCAGACAAGTAAAAAAAAAGGTTGAGAAAATACTCACTATACCAGCGAACAACGTCCATGATTTCACCTCGTGCAGCATGCTCACCCATCCGCTGGACAAGCAGATCAACGTAGCCCTGGAGAAGAGATTCCTGCTGTCGAAGCGACTTTTCACTAAACAAGTGAGAGAGGTTACGACGCATGCGAGAGTGGCCTTCCTCGTCAGCGCTGAGCAAAGACGGTACGCCACTAACGGGTCGGGGACTATTTGTACGCAAGCACTCTTGTTAGCAATCTTGCGGCTCATATCCACATATTGTACAGTTGATATGATACTTACTACCACGCTTTATCTTTCAGGTACGATCCCGTACCCTTGTACTTGCCTGTGCGGAAGCCGTAAATGTCAGACCACGCAGAGTCTGCCGCCGTAAACGAGACCTCATTGGGAGCCACGCGAACCACATCTCCATACTTTTCGTGCAGCTGCGTGGTCCATTCGACCAGTCGGCCATTGCGCGCCCTGAGCACGTATGGCAGGGGGCCGGCCCGCGCGAGTAGAGGCCCAGGAATGTGACGGAGTGGGTGAAAGAATATGTTATATATGCCACATCCCAGGACGTAAATGGCGATCTGCGTTAAATGTCATTCGTACGCTGTTTCCTTCGATGGTAGACTGTATGCCATACTATGCAGAAAGTACACGTGACATGAAGAGGGGAAAACAAACATCCCACTTACCGAAGCCAGGAAGATCCCAGATGAAAACACAAGCCCCTTCGCACTCACCACTTCAAACCCAACACGATCAGAGATGCTCTCAAGAAACATCTTTATCCCGAAAAATATCAACAGATTCAAGGAAGATGTGTTTCTCGACTACCCCTCTCACATCAAAACATTAACCTTCACAATGCGCGTGTGATGCAAGACCCTTTATACTTCCCACTTGCACCTACTATAAAATCGAACCGACTGACAAGGAAAAAAAACAAGCAACCGAGCAACCGAGCAACCGAGCAACCGAACAAATACCCCAGGCTCCCCTGTACGCATTCCGTATTTGTCTCAAATACACAAGATCTACGCATGCAAGGGCAAAGCAACGACGTATTGGACGGTGCACCAGTCCCCCGGTGCTGGTTCTAGAAACTGGTCACGTACATACGACCCCGGTCCATGTCCTTATTTCTCTCTCCTCCTGCGCAAAAGCTGAAGAAAAAGAAATTTATATATATATATATATATAAGCAGATTCAGCGCATATAGCATGCATGCCTACATGCGTAACTGCTGCAAAGCAAGAAGAGGGGATTTGCTCTCCATTCTTTCCATATGTTTCAATTCGATCTGCGCGTGTTCTCCACTGGAGCTGTACCGCCAACGCAGATGCCAACGGGCTACCTGCGGCGGTGAGACAACTAAAAGCGGGCTTTCGGCCGAGGAGGCGATCGACGGACCGCTGATGAGTCTCTAGGTGCATCGGGTGTGTCCCGGCTTGTTAGGTGTAAATAGTACTCGCTATTGCATTCGAGTAGTAAGTATTGGATTGTGGGCGCCTACATATCTATAACACAATTGCGGGGCTCTCTGAGGGATATGTTACACTTTTTTTCCCTTGCGTTGCTGTGAATGATCCAGCTGGTGAGGGGGTGGCTACTACTAAGGAATTGGTGGGATGATAGTGTGTGGTTCGAGAGAGGGTTACCCCGCTGTGTACGAATCCATGGTTTCGGTAGGGGGCGGGAGGATTAGCTTTCGCCTGACATGTGAATCATCTAAAGGACACTGGCGACTTGAGCAACGTGCAGGAGGTGGAGAGAGGTTAGTGATGTGGAGCCCGGCAGGATCCCGGATATGGTTTGATGTCCAACAAGGAGTTTTAGTATAGTAAGCATTTCAGCTCAGCAAAAGCGATTGTCAACCTATCCTCTCTCAACATACGTACTACGCAAGTATCTGAATGTCGTACATGGTAGCTGCCTCGGCCCGTCAGACTTTACTTCCCGCATTCCCACCAGTAAGGTCAGACCTATCGGTCAGCTGCACGCGTAACACCAAAAACCGATCGATCATATGCCGAATGAATATGCAAGTGCCGTAATGATACTCGATTCCATCATCTCAAAAGAGCATTGAGAGAAGAGCCAGAAAACAAAAGAGGGACGTCATATTCCATCTCCTCATTCTCATATCCTCGAAAAAAAAAGAAAAATCCCGCATAATTCCCAAAACCCATCATCAAATAAACCTCGTGCTTCTCTCCCGCCAGCCAAATGGGCAATTCAAAACAGCCGCCCCTTTCCCGTAAACCTATAAACCACACCCATTCTATTTCGTCAACCTCCTCGACGACCCACTTCCACTTTGACAGAAAAGTCAGCAAACGATTCGCATTGCATTTTCAACCCCAACCACCACCAGCACCAGTAACCCCCAATCAACCGTCCCGTCCCCTCCTGCCCCCCCAAAAAAGAAAATCAAGTCCACTCACCTCTTCTCCGTCGCCGCATTCCACGTCTTAACAAACGCCTTCTGCGTCCTATCCGTATACTTCTCGGCACTGACTTCTTTAACCCCAACTTTGGCCCCATCTTTAGTGAAGACGACATTTTTCTTCTCCATATGCTTTGTACCGCGCTGAGCTAGTTCTTCCGAGTAGAGGAAAATCTAATACATTACACACACGCGCACATATTAGCTTTTGTTCACTCGTGTATATCTCTGATTGTCGCTGTGGCTTGCTTCGCTTCGCATTCCTCGCAATCGCCAGCGCCCAAACATGGCGGGAAGTTCTGCAAGTTCACGCAACAACAGGGAAAAAGAGGGGGGGGGCGTACTTGATACCCGATCCAACCCAACCCCGCCACAACAGCGAAGAGAATGAACAGCGGAATCAGATTTAAAGCGCCCATGGCTAAACTGGGTTCGACTGGATTGCGAGTTGTGGAGACAGATGTGGCTCGTGTGAGGATGTGCAGGCGCAGGCGCTGGCGCTGGCGGTGGGGGTGTCGAGGTAAAGTGACGTGGTACGCGCACGAACTGGACAGCGACTCAAGAAAGCGTGTGCGTGTGCGTGTGCAGGAATAAAACGGTGGGCGCAATGTACGTGTGTGGGTGCGCGCGCGGGGGTGCGTAGGCGTTGCGTTGCGTTGCGTTACGTGCGGGGGGGGGGAGCGAGGCCGTTAAGAGCGCGATCGATTGCGGGCGTGCGAAAAAAAAAACGAATGTACACTACGTACGTAGTAACGAAAGAAAGATATCGATATAAAAGGTTTCTACGCACAAACACACAAAACCCTTTCTTTTATCAAAGGAAAAAAAACAAGTGTGAGCGTAAAGGCTTACGGACCAAAAAACGTGGCTTAGAGTTAACAAGAACCACTACGACCGGGGAGCACAGTTTGTTTTAAGATTAACGATGCAAGGGGGGCGCAGCGAGCGCAAAATAACGCTTTTCTCGATTCCCCCCCCCCTCCATGCGATACACGACAAGACGCTGGCTGAAACGCCCCTTGGAATTATCGTGCGCGCGCTGGGTAAGGGTAAGCATTTAGCGTCGAAGGGGTGATGCTCGGCCCGCACCCGATCTATCCGGGCCATTTCTCATCGAGTTTTTTTGCTTGCGTTGCTTGGCGGAACGAGGTGAGGCATGGATATGGGGAGAGGGGTATGGCCGAGAGACTGTTTTCTTTGACGTTGTATACATCATTATCACGTATCGTGCTGTAGGTGTTGTGTTAGACCAGGCAAATCACATGGACCCTGGTGTATGCGCCCCAAGGGGGATCACACGAACTCGTGCGCAGGACAGGATGGGTCACGGTACGAAGGTTAACGTGCCGCGCCACCCCGTATATACTTTTGTGGTACTTGCCGGGGCTGTGATCACGATATGACCTCTCTTTTTGCACTTTGTTCTTACTGCTATCAGAAGACACTAACAGCACTTCAAGGAAACATGGGTCCACATGTGAGAAGATGTCTCCTTGCCAGAACCAGGACCTGTGCACTACTGAGTCCAAACTTGGTGCCGATAACTGAGAGCCGACCAAATAGCCAGTCGCGTTGCTCTTGTGGTACACTCTCAGCGTTTGCTGCGACGTACAGTGGCCAGACTAACGAGTATCCGCCAAAGGCTTCTGCGGCTGTAAACTGTCAGTATGCTGAAAGCCTATCCTGGCTAACGTCTCAAACACTCACCGTTTTGTTCCTGGCCCGTCTCCTTGGCTAGAGGCTGGAGCTCATAGCTCATATGAAAAGGCACACATGCGCTAATCTCATCCACCATTGTTTGAATGACAAACACACTCTTGTTCCACGCTTGATCTTCCTCTGAAAAGTCGCCGCCTGAGCTCAGCCAGGTTATACAAGCCATGATGACCCGGCGACAGAATATCCTACAAACCCGGTAGTCGTTCATGATACTCGCCAGTGGCACATCGTGATAGACATGCTGCTCGCCAGGCCACTTCTCTGCCAAGGCAATATCCTCGGGCGCTAGTGTCTCATTGGATATGCTGATAATGCGGTGTTTCCATTCCGATGGCAGCGTGCGATACCATTCTTCAAGGTTCCCATCGACTGTTTGTGCGAAATCGAGTATCTGCTTGGCCTCGGATTCATACCTGGGGTCGTACGGCATAGATGTGAGGGTATTTGCGCGGGCGCGAAGATTGGGTAGGTCAATGCAGATAAGTGTTAACCGGTTGGCAGCGTTTTCATCACTGAACTCGCCAGTTCCAAGCCATCCTGCTGCACCGGGAAAAGACTCGATGGGTTTGGATCGCTGCACACAGCTTGTAATCTACATTCGCTGAGTTACTGATCCCCATGGATAGAGTATGGAGTCTTACCATCATTGTGCGTACGGCACGAAATATAGCATGAGACATGGGGTCGTTGAATTGCTCCGTTCCTCTTAATTTTGTCAACGCGACAGCTCCGTCGACGTGATTGCCCCATGCCCTGATGGTGTCGTCGGTACTCATGATTGTCTGCGGGTTGTTAGACTAGCTCAATCATCCACCGACCCGAAACACGAGTCGGATCAAGGCCTCACAACTTACTTCGTACAGAGAGAACATGAGTATAGCAAGCACTGTCTCATTGCTCTTGGACATCTTGGGATCTCGAAGGTCCTCGTGTAGCTTCTTGATGGCTTTGCCGTAGGTGGACACAGCTTCGCGAAGGAGCCGATGTCGACCGGGATACTGACCACATGTTGCCATTGCAACAGCATCAGTGGCCAGGTGCAGTACAGACGAGGGACGGGCACGATTGTAAAGGGGAACCAAGTACTCGAGAAAGCCTCTTGTACTCTCAGCCTGTTGCGGCAAGGTGATGAAGTTTTTGAAGAAAAAGGGCACGGCTTCGCATTCTGGGGAAAGGAAGATGGTGTTTGGGACTGCGTTTTCAAAGTTCCAGACAAAAGTCTCGAAATCGAATGACTTGTCCAAGGATTGTGAAGGTGTCGTAGGGCTAGGTAGGGCTAGTAGCTGCTGCGATTGGATCGAGTCTGATCGCTTTTGTAATTTTGATTTTACTCTCCTAGAGGCCTCACCACGTTGGAGCGCATTGTCCACTGGCCATGGCTCGAACGTTGAAGATGGTGACCTAATAGGATTAGCTAGGTTCTTGTCTTGTGCGAATCACACAGCAGCAAAAAGTCGACACTGACAGAAAGACAATGGCGTCCAGGCACATGATTGGGCTGATTGGTGCGGGTTGGTTGCATCACTAGTGGTTCGGTCTAATACATACAGATAGGGAGAAGTATGCGAGCTGGAACTCCCAGTACTACTACTTGACCGAGTAGCCCCAGAAGTTTTCCTCGCCTTCTTTGCCATTGCCTTGTTCTCGTCCCGGAAAACCAGATCGAAATCGTCTGGATATCCTGGACACACACGGGCTGATTTCTTGCAGTTGCCACATGTCGGCCGTTTTTCGTCGCACTGGGCAAGGTTAGTGGACGGGCTAGAGTGTGTGTAAAAGCGGTTACCGCCACTCGCAACAGATTGCCTGGACCCTTGGTGGTATGGAAGGAGAAATGGTTGCGAGAAGGAGATACATACCTTTATTCGGCGGGTCTTGCACATGCCACACCCACGGCTCGGCTTACCGGTGTAAACCATGGTTGTTATAAGAGCAATCCACGAGACGTAAGAAAGATCAAAAACAGTCTTGTCCTGACACTTGGGCGCAATCCAAGACCAGTTCTCTTTGTTTGTTTGTTTGTTCTGGAAGGCCTGGCTATAAGCGAATTGGAAATAGGGCAGTGATGTGCCTGAGTCGACCTTTTGTGACACTGCCCCTAAAGCGTACGACTACTATTAAATCTCCGTCACCACTAAATTGCAGCAGGCGTCGTCGAGTGACGAAACTTGGATAAGGTTCTGAGCAGGCGGACGGGCAACGCTGCGACTACCGAGGCACGCGACAACCGGCTCGAAGAATCGAGTTTCATGCGGTGGTCAAGACGGCCATGCGTGCGGGCAATGCGAGGTCTTGAGCCCTAGGGCAGGATTTCGCGATCGGACGGTTGGAGATGCAAGGAGACAAGACAGGCTAGCCAATGGGGAGGGCCGGAGGCGTAAGTTTACACCAGGAACAGCATCTTGAAGACGGCAGATGGAAACATTGGCATTCCGATTCGGCGGACAAGTGCGCACCGAAAGTCCATGACGGAAAATGCAGTAGTGGTCGATGTGTTTTCTCGCAAGCAATACCAGATGCGGCCTAGGGCGGCAAGGAAAACAGTGGCGCAGCTGCGTGGCCGTGTTGGTTGCATTGCTTGCTGGGCGTCTTGAAAAGGAGCGTCATGTCACTTGGATGTTTTAATATTGCTGCCTGGCTTTTTGTGTGTGTGCGTGCGTGCGTGTGTAGGCGCTTTGCTGGCACGACTCGGACGCGTCACACTCTTCCACCTCTGCAGCAAAGGGTGACGATATCTAATGACTAGATGATGCAGAAGCGACCGGAATGCGAGGAACGAGGGAATGAGTCGGGTCAGACAGGAGGGGGGGAAGAAGAGCAGTAACATGGGTGAGGAGAGCTGATTGGGGTCAAAACAAAGGGCGAGTTGGACACTCTGCGAGCTCCGAGGCGACGCACCCAGCGACGACGAGGCAGAGGGGTTCCTTCCTCGTCCGAAACTCAGGATGCGCCTTCCGATTCCAACTCTGACGGCAGTCACGATATCTTGGCCATGCGACGTCAATATTACTTTGGAATGCTCACTTCTGAGCCTGTTTCCGCGCGTCATCTTGGCCTGCAGTCATGGAGGTCTGTCATCAAGTCAGATTGCAAACAGAGCAGCTCAGAACTGGAGCCGAGTTCCCGGTCACAATGTTGAGAGTGCCCAACATCATGCGGACGATTTACGGTGAGATAGGAGAGGGTGAAAAGTCCGCCGGAAGTACCGGGCACAGTGTCAAGCACGAGGGATGTATGTTGGAAGAAGGAGACGAGATGAAGCGTCTTGTGCACGGCTATGGTTGTATGCCATTGCAGTGAGTCGACCCTCGAGCGATGCATTCTGCTTTGGGATGAATCAAAGTCACGTGATGACGACGTGAGAGGCCATTCTGAGAAGACAGGCAAGAGCAGCAAGTCGAAGCGGTCACGTGGACTTGCTTGGTAACGGCCTGCCGTGGGCAAGTGCAATGTTTGATTGAAGGCGAGATAGCGGCGGGGGTGCGAAATGAGCAGGAAATTACGTCGGATAAACCGTTCTAGATCCCAGCCTTAACACGGCACTGACATGGCAAGGAGCCATTAAGCGAAAGTGAGTGTATAGTTAGAGATTAATGAATAATAGCATGTTATACTACGACTGTGCAAGCGGGCACCGGACAAGGCGATTGTAAGTACATGTGTAGTGGAAAAACAAACAAACAACGTGTGCAATGAAAAGGCGGGCGTGACAGGCGCGTGGCCAGGGCTCTGATGGATGCAGGGCGTGATGGCGGCAAAGGGACTGGCCCAGCGGGACTCTGACTCTGGCTGGCGGCTGAGAGATCGCGTGGTCCAGGCGACGATGAAGGGGGATGAAGGGCATTGGACGGGCGATTTCCATCCTGTCCCTCTAGGCCCTAAGCAACGACCACCAAGACACACGAGCTGACGGGAGTGTCTTGGCCAGGCGAAAAGCCTGCGGGTTGGTCACTGCATGCTATTGTTGCTGCTATTGTCGACTTGCTGCTGCCGCCAGCGGATGCGATGAGCAACCAGCAGCAGCCATATTTGTGTGGACGCGTAAGATATTTCGGTCCTCTGCCTGCACAGCCCTGTCTTTTGGCGGACGTCATACTCGGACCAGCCACTGCAACCGTCAAGAGTGGCCATGTGGTGGCCCTGCATTCACAGATGGCCGTCTATTTTTACGCGCACAGCCACGCCCATCAACGGTCGGCGCGAGAGCCCGGCGACCAGGGTCGCAGCAGCGACATGGCTTTTGGACAGTTGTTGAGCAATTGTGCAGGAGGCAGCGTCATTATCAGCAGCACCATCTGGTAGCAGCAGAAGTAGCGTCCCGTTATGGGAGGGATGGGATTTGTGAGCAAGTACGAGAGGACCCAAGAGGGCCATGTGTTAAGCGTCTC